TCTTGTGCCTGCCTAAATTGTTTATACGATTGTGAAGAAGCTTATGGTTGGACGTATCTATATAAATAACTAGTCATAAAGTTCGGTGAGTGTGAGAGGTGCCGATCGTATGCGTCATCCGGGAGAGGAACATTTAGACGAGGTGAGGCGGCGCAGCCGCCGATATGTGCCGAAACTGAGCCTATACCCCATCCGTACGTAGATCGTCTTCTAAAAAGTATTGCAGAGAATATAGAATCGGGGGGTGTGGGAGGTATGGAATACCCTCCAGCACACGGGCGAAGAAGTTCGTTTTCTATTATCCCTAGCACCCTTATGGCAGTCTTAGCGAAAAGGTAATCAAATCGTTTTCGCCTAAGAAGTATTCCAGACAGCATAGCACTAGCAAAGCAATCCCTCCCAGCACGAGTCTTAGCGAAAAGGTAATCAAATATTCGAAAGCTGGGGGGTATTCCATATCCTCCCGGTTACACTTTTCCGTATACAAACCTTTTAGCCCTCGGGACTCTTAGGGTAATACCTTTTAAGCAAGAAGCGCGACATCGTCTTCTTCTAAAAAGTATTTCAGAGAAATCAAATCTTCGAATGTTGGTCCACAAAGAGAAATTTTAGCTGCAATTTTGCAACGAAATATTTCGATTTGAAATGTAGGGTTAAGGTCTCGGTTAAGGTTTTAGTGAGTATTTTGGGGGTTGAACGTTGCACAAAAATATGTCAGGACCTGATTCTGAAGCGCATTTTTAACTTAAATTATACTTGGAAATTAAAATCTTTAATTTTAAAATTTAGAGGATGAAGACAGTAGAAAACGAGTTGCAAGTTGAAACCTGGATTTCAAAATACGAGGGTGGAAAGGAGACGCTAAAAATAATTCAAGTGCCGACATTAAAATGAATCAAGTTTGGGAAATTTGATCTTCAATTAAAGCCGATTTTTTTTATTTGGGTAAGGTGTCCAATTTAAAATGCCTTTGCAAACTCCAATAATAAAAATGATGCAGTGGATTATCCCGTGGCATTCTGTCTAAAGTGGACCCACATTTTATTATCCCCTGCTATAAGGGGACATCAGAGGTGGTGTCGCACCCAATTTTTTTTTCTTCACGCACATACGCAGTCTGGATTTCTCGTGCAGGTTCAAGGTATACCAACCTATGGATAGAAATCAAGCGATTCGCACCCCCTCACGAGTCCGACACCAATCCAGTCGGCAGGGGTGCCAATCCCTCGGGCTCCCAGTACCTCGAGTGATCGTGTTGAAAAAGTTTCCTTTCACACATTTAACGAGTCATGGTCGAGTCCGATTTCTTGAAACTGTACTCCTGTAATCGCCAAATGGCAAATCGACCAGCTAATTCTGGAATCAGAAGTCGCGACCAGTAAATGCGCAGACGAACAGTTCAAATCCAGGTGGTACGTCAACTGAACGAGCCAATGGAGAACTGGATGCAACCCGTCGCCGCATCTCTGTCACTCTTCTGGAAGTAGACGTTCGTTTTAGTGATTCTCAGTCCGTAGAGGAGCACGAGTAAATCAACATCATTTCCAACGATGATGACGTGGTCATTCAAGATACTTTTTTGAAGCGCAGTCACAACGATATAGCCCCACAAATTTGGTGCTATTTTGAGCGCCATCCTCAGAATTCCCATAAAAAAATACACATACATTTCTCCCAATCATTGCGATGACCCACGACTTTATGGAGGAGGTATCCTCCATCGACAACAAATGTGTTTGCCGACTCACCGATGTTCTCTGAAGCTTGAGTGAAGGCAGCTTAAAAAACAGATTTCGTGCCTTCGTTGGAGTCATTGGATATGAAGCGAGCTAGTAAGTGAAGTGGGCCTTCAACTGTAGATTCAGTTCTTCAGTTGCTCCAGGATGCACAGCACATGCGCTGGAAGATCTCTCAACATCGACTCTGTTCTTGTGGACCTTGATGGAGGTAGTAAGTGTTGCCCAACAAAGAACTTTTTCTTTCCTTGAGAAAGTAACAGTCCCAAAAACGTTTTCCCCCTTTCAGCCCTTCTTTTAGGACAAGGAGTTTATGTGGGGATTATGTACTACTGCTGATGGATACGAGTTTAAGTATCATTGGTAACTTAGATTTTTAAATCTATGAAATTGTTGCATGTTTAAAGTTCACTTCATGCAACAAAAAAGTGATTTGGTAGGTACATTTCTGCAAAAATCCCTAAATTGTCACATTTAATGGTCTTCAAAAACGTATATAATAGATTTCGTCAAAAAAAATGCATAGTTTAGAAGATATAGAGCAAACACTGAAAAAAGTCCGAAAATGCCACGGTTTTTCGTGTGCTACACTTTTTCCATAACTTTTAAAGAGTTGCAAACTTGAATATGTTGTGGGGAAGGGTCAATTTTCGCATGCATGCATACGCCACTTCCGTTTACAAATATGCCTCCCGGATAGGGCTTAGGCTCGGTTTCGGTCATCTCATCTAAATCTCCTGGTGCTTCTTTCCTAAAAGGTACCATGAGAGTCCTGAGGCCTAAAAGTTTTGTGCGGAAAAGTGTTACCGGGTGGTATAAAATACCCCCCAGTATTCGAAGATTGTTACCTTTTCGCTAATACTGACATAAGGGTACTAGGGGTAATAAAGAACGAACTCCTTTGCCGAGGGTACCCTCTGCTGGTGGGTATTCCATACCTCCCAGTGTTATGTTCTTTGTTCTCTGCAATATTGGCTCATATTTCCCCTTCCGCCGTAATTCCCAATATTTCTCCGGAGTTCTCCTTATTTCCTCATACCGCCCCATAATTCCTGCATATTACCCCCAACCTTTGACAATACATATTGCCTTAGTGGTTGGGGAGACGACCTCTGTTAATTTGGAAAAATATTTCCTCATGGAGGAATTCTATTTCCTCTCCAGTCTACAGTTAGTTATATTTCATAAGTATTGCCTCGTATTTCTTTATTCTACCACCACATTTTTTACTCGAAATGAGGTTATATTTACCAGCATTGCTCTCGGCAATACCTTCAAATTACCTGGACTTTTGACACGTAGTTCCTAATATTGCCTGATATTACCTCGTAATTCCCCATATTTCCTCATACTGTTCCATAATTCCTTCATATTACCACCAACTTTTAACAATATTGCCTTAGTGATTTCCCCTCGCTGGGGGGTTAGGGATACCCCCTGCATATATATACGAAGATGTGATTACCTTTTCGCTAAGACTACGATAATAGAGAACGAATTCCTTTGCCAAGGATACCCTCTGGTGGGGAATATTTCATACCCCTCACAAATACGTTCTTTTCCAAAAGCGTTTAGCACTCTCACGTTAAGTGTTTATATTTTGGCTTTCGTGACTACAATAAGAATTCTGTTCAAATTGCGGTTTCGATTCTTGTGAAGGTCTTCTCTAGGCTCTTCCGGGCTCTTCTTAAGTGCGTTTAAAATTGTCTCGAAAATTTGACTTCAGAACCTCTGCACTCTTCCACCCTTGTCAATCATTTTGAGAGTGAAATGCTATAAACAGCCATCGTAATGGTAAACGGTGAAAAATACTGAAACAATTTGTTGGTTATATGCCTCGTTACAGGTAAGTCAAAATTGCTGGTACGTTGAGTACTTTGTAGGGATACTTCAATTTGTTGGTAATGGCAAGGTATATCTTGTGAATTTCGATACCATTTGTATTTACGGTGTACATTAATCTGTTTAACGATTTTCCCATCGGGACAGCCAAATCTTGGTACAACGTAGTCTCTGCATATATTAACAAATTTAAACATATACGGGACATGAAGGTAAGATACTGTATATGGAGATTATTCATAATAATGAATGGTTAATGTGACATTTTTGGAAATGTTGAGTGTAGGTACTGCTTTTTAAAGATAATAGGAAAGGAAGTTGTCTGTACAATCTACGAAGATTAATAAAACACCTCATATTTTTGAGTGCCGCATGTCCAAAAAGTATTTTCTAGGTGCGATACACCATTGAAATGCAAATTTTAAAGGTTAACAACTTTTTTGTGTTAACTTTAAAAAATTCAGAAGTTCTACCTTTCTAAACATTTCAAGCACATTTTCTATTGCAAAAAAAATCGTATTCCTACAATAAATCCTATGGCAAACAGTATTAGTCCATTAGAGCGTATATTACAAAAATAAACTCTTTGCGTAACTTGCCTAATCGATGACGGTTTCCTCATTTAGTTCGCAGATTGAATCCGTCAGAAAAATCATCGGAGGGAAAAAGTGGCCCACTTTCTTGGATTATTTCCAAAGCGGAAGATTACTTAATAATAATCTCGAAGATATTTGGTTTTGTGAGCTGTTTCAATAATCTGCCATCGACTTGTAAATAATTTACATTTCACATTGAGTGTGAAATTAACTGAGATGTCAACAGCAATGCAATTACACTATGCCATGTTTATACAATACTAATTTCATCAGCTAGTACTCACATTCCCATGAATTTTCAGTTTTTTGAAGTTTGTTTATGGAGCACTTTACAATAAAACGGAAGTAGGCGATTTCGGTCTTTCAGTGTTGATGTTTATTCAATAATAGGTGATTTGTGGGCCGATATTGGGGTTGAATTGAAACTCGAGCTACCGGCTAACGTTAAGCAATGACAAAGGTCAATAAATGTAATCAAAACCGGTTCCGATCGGAATTATAATGGTCTTCTTTAAATGCAGAAGTGCATCAAGATAAACATTCAATTCAGATGACAGCCACCATCATTAGCCTAACTGATTGAAGTACAAAGGTCTTAATAAGACTAAAACTGTAGGTCTTTTGTCTTTTAATTGAACAATAAAGTACCGTTCATTCTTTGCGTTTACGGCGAAATTGTCCCCAAAACATTGTTTGAACGATAAACAATCGCGTAAAACGCATTAGTTCAGGTGAGAATCGTCACGTAATGTAATTATTAACGGTTACCCAACAAAAACGCTGATAACAGCGGCTTGTTGCGTAAGGCACGAGTTACGGAACTCACCTCTACGTTGGCCAAAATTTTCTGGCACTCTCCAACAGGCACCGAATCTGCTATGCTGATGACCAACTCTTCGTAGGCACCCGATTTAAGCTCTAGAGACTGTCCGTATCCCAAACTGATTAAGCAAACCACGACCGCCACTAATGCCATTATTGTTAAGTCTTTGGTCACTTGTAAAAAAAAATAGTTAATAAATTAGGGGAGCGCACTGTCCCAAACGTAACTCATGTCCGTTTTATCCTTATTGATTGATAGGGGTAACTAAGGCAACGCACTAACAACACAAATAATTCCGTTTTAAAAAGTTCACGCTCCGTGAAACACCGGAAGTCAGCACTCCTGCTTCAAGTTAACTGCAGAACAGACGTGAAAGAACTAACATTCGTGTCATGACCAAAGAAGCGCAATGTTCCAAGTTGCGCTTTACTCCCACCCACTATCTGGTAGTATGCAACAGTAAAGCACAGCCTTCAACGTAACTGAGGTAGCACACATGAACCCTGTAGCCTCAGGCTCTTTGGCTTTTCTTTCGAGCGTGGTAGGAATTTCAATTGTGCGGGTTGCATAACTGACTGGGTAGGTAATTGGTGTTTAATTTCCAGTCTGGTGCATAATTATTGCGGGATAATTGGCAATCAATTCCTATTTGCGTTACGAACCCACTCTATCTTGTCAGTAACGTTCAATAGCGTTTTTGGCATTTGATTTACGTGAACGAACCGCTGAGTAATTATCCTTTATTTCATCCCTCTCGCGATACCTTCATATTAGACTTTTTAGATCTTGTTGTGGGGTGTTTTCTACTTCAGCTCTCGATCTGTATTATTGACAGCTTGACAATGTTCCATTGTACACCCTGGTGCAATCTCATAAATGTATTGGGTAAAGTTTGTATTGATACGCGCACATACGAACTTGAAGTGGATTACCTCATGTCCTCATATCGTGTCAATACTCTAGTAATGCGCTCGATTTAGACGCCGTTTTCAGTACATTTTACGTAAAGTGCGGCTAAAATTTTCGACGCTAAAATACGCCCCACGTAGATTTTTTTCCTTCTTTCATTTTAATTTAATTGAAAATTCTACCTTATAGCAGAGAGGCCGGGGGGTTGAAAAAAACCACTCTCCCATCATACCTCGAAAACGGTACTTGCTATAACGGTCAAATTTTCACGATTGCTTAATGATATATAATATATAATTCATAATCAACAAAAATATCCAGATGCCCTCCGCCCAAGAAGTGGAAAAAGTCACCACATTGCCGTATCCCGAAAACGGAACATATTATCACGATCTTATTCGTAACTAGTTAAAAATAATTCAAGATTTATAGAAAAGCAACAGGAATACTCAAGTACACTGTCATCCAATGGGTTAAAATAGTCACCCCCTTGTAGTATATCGAAAACGGCACATCTCATCATGATCGAATTTCTGTGATTGGTTAATGATAATCCAAGAATTAGTAAGCAACATAAATACCTAGCTGCATTGCCGTCCAAGAGGTTGGGAAAGTCACCCTCTAGTGGTAATCTTGAAAACGACACATACCTACTACCACGATAACATTTTTGTATCCATTAATCACTCAAATTTTATTAACGCCAATTGGCAAAACTTGGTAAATCCTTACAAAACAAAACCTAAAATTTATGTGATTTTCTTTTCTTTCTAGGTTCATCCTCATCCACTTTTCTTCTCTTTCCTCCTCTCCAGTACTTCACTCCTGTTTCCCCTTACCCTTTCCATTCCCATAGCATGTGACACAGATTCTACATGTTCTTTTTTCTTCTTTTCTCCACTTCTCATTCCCTCTCTTCATTTCCGCCATTATCTTAATAGCATTTCGGCAACCTCTACCTTATTAGTTCCTTGAATTCTTTTACTAATTCACTTTTTCTTTCACTCCTTTCTTCGAATCTTACCTCCTTACGTCCCGACGCTATCATTATTTTTCCAATTTTTGTTTCCTCTCTAATATACAATTTGGTGTCCTTCCGTTTATCCTCCCAGTAATACCTTCTCTGTATTCCTTGAAGCTTATTCCATTCCTCCCACCCCCATATCTCCGTTCCGTACATCAGCATCTCTCTTACCATTGTATAAAACAGGTATTTTTCTTGTTCTAAAGTTATTTTTGAAACTCCTATTCTGCACCTCTGTTATTTGCGCATTTGCACCATTATTTCGTTGCAATTGGTACCCTAAATATTTCACTTCTCTTAATTTCTCTACACTGTCCTCCTTACACTTCAATTCTATTTCCCTTATCCTTCGTTTCGCTTTCAAAATCTTATCATTTTCGACATTCCGACATTTAACTCCATTTTAACTCTTTCCCTATACCTTCCCAATCTCCCCATCATGTTCTTCATTTGTTCTACGACTGTTGTCCATATTATTGTGTCGCCCGCGTATGCCAGGGACCATATCCTCCTTCTTCGCACTATAGGATCCCTCCACTTTTACCCTGTCTTAATATTTTTTCCATCTCTCTCATGTCTCAGTTCTTGATATGTCAGAGCACTTCAGACTCCTTCCCTTCCATTTTTGTCTCTAATTCCTTGATTCTCTCCTTTAGCTTCTTGTTGATTTTCCCCTCTTCCATAATTTTCCATACTTTTTCTCTTTCCAACTCTGCCAAACGTTGTCTTTATCTACATTCGTAGTACGATATTAACTTTCCGCCTTTTTTCCAATTCCTTTTCCACCAATCTGTGTAGTACATCAGTACATGTATACAGCCGACCATTTCCCTCTCATTTCTGAATCGCATTCGTGTTTCTCCAACATCCTCCTCTATTTTATAGCCTCACCTCTTTTATAAATCATCACTATTACCCCTTGCTTCCGTTCTTCAAGCAGTCCTCATCTTTTCCTTTTCCTACCATTTCCTATTTCTCTTTCTTCAAGCTCTTGAATTGCTGTTCTTGATATCTCGTCTCCTTCACCCTTCTCTCTTCCCACCTCTTCTATAAGCTTCTCTTTCTTCTGTTTTCCTTGTATTATTTTATTGGTTCCAGTCTTATATTGGTATTTCTCTCCCATTTGCTCTATTTTCCCTTTGCGCATTGCTCTTCGTATTCTTTTTGTTTTTCCATTTTTTTTCTTTACAATTTCTTTAGTACTTTTTTTTCTGTTATCTCAACTATTTCTCCTCTTTCTTTCTCCATCATTATTCTATCTCTGTTTCTCTGTTTTGTACACTGTCTGTTCCCCCATTCTTTTCTATTTGTTCTGCCATCCCTTTCAATTCGTATGATCTCGAAAACTCAATATGGAAATTGCTTCCCCAAGAAATTTCACCCACAATATTCATCTCTTTTTCAAAGACTCGAAATTTTTCAAGATCAACTGTCCCTAAATAAAGCAAAGAAAGTCGTAGGAAAGATCTAAAAGGCATTTAACGGGCTATTTAGGTCTTTACTAAAACTAGGCCCTCCAAAAGTCTATAGGTACAGGATCTAAGAAGTTTGAAAGCTCTCGAAAAGTCTAGAAGAGCTTAAGTTCATATATAGTTGACTTAAGACTTAAGTCTTGCACCTTCTAGAATGTCCGAAGTCTTTCCAGCACTTTTCAAGATCTTTGGATCGTACTGCCTATAATTTCTGTACCTGCAAAAATAAACTGTTTCAAACCAATATAGACAACCAGCTACAAACACGGACGGACAGAAAGACCGAATGACTAAAATTTATTCAGTTAGTCCCTTGCTCATTGTCTACCTATTAATGAAAACATAGTTGGGAAATTCGAAACCGTTTGCGATTATCATGTACACAGACGGGCGGACAGAAAGTCCAAATCGCCAAAATTTAATCAGTTAGTCTCTTGCCAATTGTCTATCTACGTATTACACAGAATTGGATTCGCGAGTTATCATATGCGTTCAGACGGACCGACAGAAAGTCCAAATGGTCAAATTTAATGAGCTAGTCTCTTGATCATTGTCTACGGATTACTGAAAACAGAATTTAAAAATTCGAAACCGTTGGCGAGTTATCATGTAGGTACACAGACGGACGGACGGGCAGACCGTGAAGGAGCGGGGTCGCTCGTTAATAAAACAACCATGACAACGTTACTAATAAACCTAATTTTCGTAATATCTTTTCTTCTAGCGGTAATTTTCCTCTGATAACTATTGAGTGCAATTCAAATTATACTCTTATCTCAACATAAACATTTAATTGTAATTGTTTATTATTACAGATGCAAGTAGGCTTTGATTGTTATTTCGCGATTATTACTATTGTGTTGCAATGTTTTACTAAACTTTGCAGTTTCCCAGACTAAAACTATTGACGTAAAGTACCGAAATTTGATAAAGAAGTTTTAAAACAAGTAGCTTCTAGGACTGTCTATGCTGTCGTAGTTGGTACTGATATAATGGCCACGTTAGCTGTATTACTATTCACCCCCTGGGGGCTGGGATACCAGCGTCGAGGTTTCTTTGAGGCAAAGTTCTCGTGAACGAATTTACCAGGAACTAACCTGCAATGAATTTTATTGAGACACATCGCGAGATTATCCGGATCAAGTTGGTTGATACTTCTTGGTTCAGTAAATTCAGAACGATTAACAACGAATCACCATCGTTTGCAAAAAATACATTTTCCACCAGGGCTGTCCCTTATCAGAGTTATAGAACGACGTAAAATGTTCTCCCAATACCGTTGAGTGAATATTTAATTACTCAATGCCAATACCCATCTCCGCGTCTAAAATTGCTTCACTTTTAAGGACTCTAAACCAGTGGTTCTCAATTTTTTTCCATACCGCCCTCGTCCTAATATTACTCACGCCCCCTTCCCCGATTAAAAAATAAAAACTGCGTTTACTATTGTTTGAAAATCACTGTTCTAAGCAGTCATAAAAGAATGGGGCGATTATTAAAAAATTCGGGAAATTCGTAATCCAATACTGATTGAATATAGACCGTTATTATTTGAATAACCCTTTGCATTTGCTTTGTCAACTTTGATAACGGAACATGACGTAACGTTCCTTATCTTAGAATTCCAAATCCAAACATACACTAAGAGTATTAATAGACTATAATTATTCCACAGCTTAATTATATTCGAAATCAAAATCGCTAGTAGAACAGAGAAAAAATTAATTTCTCTCAATTGCCTCCATTTGCCCTCATTACACTAAGGTATCAATTACGCCTACGAAAACGAGACCACCTTTAATAATTTTCTTCCATTAAGCCACGATCAAATTTCCCAAAATCAATAGTCCCCCAAAGCTTAAATTAGAAATTTTAGAAAGTTGCGTACTGCAGGTACCTACATAATTGATGTTCTTAAAATCCTTTGAATATCTTTAATTAAACGACCATTTCAAAGGGTTCATTACACTAATTAAGATACGGTGATCTAAATCGTTTATAGAAATGCTATAAGTGCATCTCATTGTCTGCAGTTTGGAATTTCAAAACGCCTTGAATTGGTTTCTG